TTCTAAAATTTCATTTCCATTAATAATATTTACTATTTAAAAAAAATTAGAATCTTAATGGCCAATCCGGAGACGCACGTATCTCCATGAGACCGTGTCTTGCATTTCCGCCTGTTAATCCGTCTCACCCACAAATCTCTTCATTAGTTAATTTTTTATTCAACTTTTTTTATGAAACTTCTATGATATCCGGAGTAATCATCCTCTTACCGACTGAGATTATATCTTACATCTCGATTACATTTTTCAATCATTCAATACTATTTTTATCGTTATTCTACAGAAAAACTTTTTATGTCATTAATCCAACCATAAAGACTTTTAAAATAAAGTAAGGTAAGAAAATTATATCATTTTCAGCGGACCCGTTTCCCGGAAATAATTTTAGACTTTTAGTGGCACTGGTCATTGGTCAATAAACATCTGGCTATCTTTTAATTCATAAACTAATAAATCTCTTGGTGGTTTATTTCTGTTTTTTTAAAGAAAATTGTTTGTTTTAGTTGTTCTTTTTGGATTATACCAACATATTTTATAATTCCCATTACCAGTATTAATCAAATCGAAGTAATTTATAAGCAAAAAAAGCCATAAAGATTAGAGAAGTCAACTCTGTTCAACCTTAAACGTGTGCATAATATATAAGCTAAACCGTCTATAATACTCTTTCTATATATAATCGTTTTCTTATAATTGACTATGTAATTAAATTTGATTGGTTTGGTGTAAATTGACTACTCCCTCAATATCATTTTAAATAATTTTTAAGATTTCTATACATAAAACCACCAATTCCAATACAATTTAACCAATAAAAAACTAATCTACAGAATTTAAAGAATAAAAAACAACAAAAACATAATTAATTTTACTTTGAAAACTTAAAATATCATCTAATTTGAGACAAAAAAATATTTATTTAATATGATACGGAGTGAATACTATTTAACAACAAAATTAAAGTCTAAAATTAGCTCATCGATTAAAGAGTAGCAAAATTTGGGTATGACTTCCCTTTCCTTCTCCAAAGAACATCAACATTTCTTTTCATTTGACCATTATATTTAGACAATTATTAGATTACGACATTTTATTTTATTTTAAAGACCCAAATTTTCAC